ATTTTAATCTTAGTAAATATAATCGATTGAGATTGAACCATCGAATATGAATTCGATTTCTAATTAAAATAAAATAAATAATATATTGAAATGAATTCCTATAGAAATAATTAATTATATATTTATCTTTTATTCATTCTTTAATTTATAAAAATATAATTAATAAAGAAAAAAGAAAAAGAATTTTTATTTATTAAAAGATTTTTTTATTAATAAATAAATTCTTGATTAAATAAATAATTTTATTCTTAATTATTATTTGAGATGATTAACAAATCATCTTACTATTTTTTTTTAAACAATAATCGCCTTTTTTTTTTCTATTCTATTGATTTCAATAATAAAATTTTAAAGTTTTGTATTTTCTTCTTGAATTTTTTCTCTAAAACATTTAAATTGAGAAAATTTTCTTTGAACAATTGAAACATAACAATGTGGATAAAGTGGAAAAAATTGATTATCATCATCCATATTACTTAATGGACCATTTATTGATGATGCTGTTTGAAGAATACTTAAATATATAAATGATATTATATAAAATAATAAATATGTTTTATAATAATCTTCAAATATATATAAATATTCATCATAAATAAGCCAATATCCACGCCAAATAAATACACATGATATAAATGCTAATAAATGACGAATATTTCGATAAAATTGAGGAAAATTTATTGAAATAAATGTCCAAAAATCATATTTTAAATTTAATTCTTCTAAATATGTTTGGAAATACATTAATGGAAAATAAAGAAGATAACCAATTAAAATTGATATTCCAGCTGACATAGGCACATTGTCAGGATAGAAATAATTATCAAGATAATGATAAATTCCACGCCATGTCATTATTGATAAATTTGATATAATTATTTCATATAAAATATAATTTATTAAATTTATTGCCCATTGTTTCATCTTAAAAAAATAAAAAAAAAAAAAATCTTTATTCGAAAAAAGTAATAAGTTACTTGTCTTGTAAGTAAAGGACAACCAAATTGAATACAATATTCAATTGAATC